ACACATATACTGTATATATTTATATATACATATATTAGACATGGATCGTACTCACCCACCATGGTTCCCTCGTCGGAGCTCTGTCCGAAGAAGCCTCTAGACCGGACCATCAGTAAGATGGTCACTATGAAGCCGTAGAACCAACCAAACCTAATAGGTCCAGCATAGGCGACTATAATGCAGGAAATTCCCCTCCTAACCTCGGTCAGGTGGAGAGATGGTGGTTACAGGGGAATTAGGAAGGTGAAGATAAGGGCAGATGTAAGACCCCCGAAGGAAATGAGTAGATACTGAGGTATCACTCTGATCCGGACAAAAGCACTGACGCCCTGTCTGGATCACATCCCTTAGGTCTTTTACTCACCTTCCTTTGACCCACGATACTTCCTACCCCAACCCGCGGCCGGGGGAGGAGCGTGAGCCGCGACACTAGCCTTCTGAGCCAGTCTCTGATCCTCAAAACTGAGACGGGCTAGGACCCCTGGGTTGTTCGGGCTCCGACCTGGACTTCTATCCCGGTCTTTCAGCCGGTCAGCCTGATATGCTTGGAGCATCACCATCATGTGCAATGAAGCGACAGCCCGACCAGCTGCTGCTACGTATGCCCTGGCATCCGAGCGAGATGTCAAGGAGGGGAGTCTTAGAGGACGTCTCACCGCGTGAGGAATAGCACACCAGCGTCTCTCTATAGGGGCATCTTCTCATAACCGCTTTTGCTCATCGCCTCGATGTTGGCATAACTTGTATGCTGGAATCGATGGATGCGTGAGGAAAAAACGGCCTCTTCCATTCCTTCTCAATCTTTATATGAAAAACAGGAAGAAAGGAAGGCTCACCTGAGCTGGAGGGTTATGGCCAGAAAAATAACGTTCATCGAGATATTTTGCGACGTCACTTTCTTCACCCGCTTCACGGCAAGTAAAGCCTCACCGTGGCGCGATCCATAATTTCCAAAAGCTCATCATACGCAGGGCAGGAGAATTGGGAAGGCTCAGCCTCAGCTTCTTTGCCCTCCTCAGTTATTTCCTGCTTTTGCTGGGCTGATCCCAGCAGAGCAATGGCCCCTGAATCAGACAATGTTAATGAAATAACATCATCCTCCAGCGGCTCACTCCCGTGCACAGCCGACGATCGCAAAAGGGAAATCACCCTTTAAACTCATCGGCCAGATACACCTGCGATCCCCACAAGCTCATTCCCTTCCGTGCCTCAGCAGTGGAGGGTCCTGAATCGCGGGAAGCAGATGACTTATATCATATCATGCCTAGTGAGGCCACACAATGTAAATCATTTGACCCTGTCAATAGTGTGCAGCACATAATGGTTACAGGTGTTATGATCCCAAGAGAATAGAAAACTGACATCCAATGACAAAATGAATGGCTATAAGAGATTATAATATAGTTTTTGATGATAGACATAAAAATCCTTATTAGGTTCTGTGTGTAAATCTATTTAGTATAATATCTAATGCTAAATAATTCATTAGACATCCAGTGCCAACACAACAGAGGCTCTGTCAGCTCAAAACAGTGCAGACAGTTCACAACCAAGCAAGCAAGTATAAAGAGAACATCAAAACGGGTCCATGGAGCTTGAGGGTGGAGGTGGGATGATGAAACAACAATAAAACACCTAAGCAACTCATTTATACTAACATATAAAAGGATTTGATCAATACTAATGATACAGATTTTCCCACAGTGATGGGAAACTTCAAATGCATAGCGGTCAAAATATGGAATCATTATTTTATTTATTTAGTCTATTTTTATACAATTGTAATACTGTTAAATTATATATTATAATATGAAAATGTAATTTATTCCTGTTGGCAAAGCTAAATTTTCAGCAGCCATTACACCAATATTTAGTGTCACATGGTTCTTCAGAAATCATTCTGATTTGTTCTTCTTATTCTTAATACTTTGCTGCTGAATTTATTTTGTATTTCTTTGCTTAAATCATTTTTTTTTCTCTCCGCATTCTTCATTGAATAGAAATAACAGCTTTTTTTTTTAAATACAAATCTTTTGTAACATTATAAATGTATTTGTCTCTTTTGACCCATTGATCAAATACAAAAATATATTAAAATAGAAAATAGATATTTGAAATTGTAATTTTATTTCAATATTACTTATTTTTGTTGTTGCTGTATTTCTTTTTATCAGACAAATGTAGCATCGGTGAACATTAGAGACTTCTTTTGAAAACATTTTTTTTTTAATTCACCCTTTAAACTCATCGGCCAGATACACCTGCGATCCCCACAAGCTCATTCCCTTCCGTGCCTCAGCAGC